CCACCACCACCGGCCCCGCCGCCGCCACCTCCGCCACCGCCACCACCGCCACCGCCGCCGACGACGGAGTGCCCACCGCCGGCACCGGGAACCGGGGGTGGGGGCGCAGTATCGTGAGGAGTCGTCGAATGCGCCGTCTGTTGTACCGGCAGCGCCCCAGCATAGTATCCGCCGTTGATGCCCTCAGGGTAACTGCTGAAGAAAAGAGAAAGCGAAAAACAACATCATGGGCGAGACCTCGAAAATTTCGCGCGCCACTTTTTTCGATACTTATTTAGTAGAGTAGCTTTTATTGTAGTGTGTAGAGTAGCTTCCAATTTTCTTTTTCTGTGACTCTGTGTGTGATTTCATTACTAGATGGCGTTTCTAGGTGTGCTCTAGGTAGAGTAGCAATCGTTCCTCGCCAATGAAAAACAGGAACGTGAGAACACACACAGGTCATCAAGATTCCCAAGAACGGAATTATCTTTTTCTTTGTCTCTCTTTTTTTCGTTCGTTTTCTATGTAAGTCTCGTCTCTAAGCGCTTAGTCTTTACACTCTATACACACACGCATCGATAGATTTTGTCACGCTCGACTTTCACGATCGCTTTCAGACTTTCACTCGGAAGAGAAGAGAAGTTAACATCTGCTCGAAAAGCCGTTTCTGCAAAAATTACCAGAGATACAGTGTTACTCATCACGAAATTGATCCAATGATATTTTAAGAATGTTTTCCATTATAATTTTATTTAAGACTCCTGGCTCCTTTTTATTACTATCGTCATTTTGGATTATCTTTCTAAATGAAAGCTTATTTCTCTGTTTATTAGTTTTTATATTCTTATTACAAAAAATAAATTTTTTTTATATTCTATAGAAAAATTTCTTACTTTATTAATATTCTCGTTATTTTTCTTAATTCTTTTTAGCATTTTTTTTTAATTTTTGTTATTTTATATCCTTCTTTTTTTTAATAAAAAATTTATGTTTACAAGTTTTTCATGGTATTATAATTTCATAGTTTTATAATAATAAAATCGTATTAGCAATTTTAATTTTAATTGTCAATTTATGTCATTCCTTTTTCAAAATTATATAACAATATACTTAAATATACAGAATATTTTGTCAAAAAATAAACTTTACCAACGTATTCAGATGATCATTTTAAGCAGTAGTTCATGTATAGCCTGAATCGAGAGATTCAGCTTCATTCTTATAAGATATGAGTGTATTTTATTGTATAAGATTCCATAATGAAAGCTCTTCGATTTCCATAATAATCATCCGATACATCATTATAATCAATACATTGCCATTTAATAGAATATCACTTAGTAGAATATTCTCTCTTTTATAAATATTGTTTAAATTGTTCATTACGGTGTTGTAAATATACTGTAAACGAGACATTTTACTGACATTTTAGAGTGTTAATGTTATGACTGTAATTGCAATGTGATTTCATCAGTAAATCAAGTAACTACTACATGGAAATCAGGTAGCTTTCATTATGGAGCTTGTTTAACAAAGCTTATTTCTTGGAAATGAAGTATCGAATCGATATATGTGAACTCTTTTGCTTAAAATAACCATTCAAACAGTTGATAACAATTGTCTGCTTCATGACGAAACATCATCCTGTATGTATATTACTTCCTTACTTCAAACATAATACAACAAAAAATTTAAATTTTCCATATAAAAAGAAAAATTATTTTTCAACTGAAAATTTGTGATTAATAATACCGCGAAAAGAATATATTTGTAATATGATCAAGTGTCATTTTCATTTCTTAGCTCTTAAAAATCCATTCTTTTTATGTGAAGATGTTTTTTGAATCATCCTTTTTAAATTATAACGATTTTAAAGATTTTCAGAAAATTAAATTATTTCACCTGACAATGTCTACTTAAGTACATTCATAGTAATAACTCAAGGACTATGTTTTTAAGTTATGCCACTTTTTAAGGGAGTGATATGTGTGTGCGTGCCTAAACAATAAAGCTGAGTATACACTTACGAACGAACACACAGCGAATAAACAGCGAATTCGAATGTTCATCGTTATCATTCAATAGATATATACGTTTAAGCAAATGATGCGATACATCAAAAACAATTCGTGCACCATTCGTGCGCGATGTGGATGTGCAAAGGATGTAAACAACATCCGCTGTTCGCTTCTTGAACGAACAACTATTTTCAGAACAACTTAATCCTGTCCTTAATCAAATTATATGTTGTAAGATATAAATAAAATATCTATAAATTAAGAAAAGAATTGTCTCTAAATATTAACTAGTTAATTACTTTTTTTACGTTCAAATGTTACAAAACCTCAAATTATTACATGCGAATTATATCAAATCTGATAGAATTCTTGTGTTCGATAGTGTTTGACTACAGAAAGAAAAAATGAACGACCCACAAATACGAATGCAAATATCCAAACGTTCGCATTCGATGTTCGTTCGTAGATATATACCCAGCTTAATAATAATTCGTAAAATGTTAGATAAGTAGAAAAATTTTCGCTCTCTTCAGTCAATCTTATTATAATGCTTTTAACTCAATATAAAATATTGAATTTTATGAGTAATATTACATATATGTAATTACATATATAATAAACAAATTTAATATTATATATATGTATTACATAAATAATATACCCAACTTATATTATATATTTTTCCATAGAACTTGTATTATTTTATTGAAATTCGGGAAGATTAGAATATCAGAAGCGACAACTAAAGTGTGTATACACCTAGCAAATGAACACTGAACGAACAGCGAACGCAAAAGCTAGTGTTTTATTTATTATATAAAAGTCAACAAATTTAACAACAAATTTAATTGCTATATGCAACGAACATCGAATCTGCTTAAATGCTTAGTATTCAGTACAATAAAAAAATAATAAACTGGTTACAAACACAAAAATATCCCAACATTCGCGTTCGTTCGTTCACTAAGTGTATATGCGACTTCATACAAACTTTTCTCCTATGCAAAAACGTACAACACATACAAACACATACATATACACCCACACAAATCCACATTCATTCCACTTCATTCAGTGATGTGTACACACGCATAGGTGTACTTATCTATGGATCCAGATACACATTTACACATCCATTCACTGACCACACATGTAAACATGTGCACGCACACTCGTTGTATACACGCGTGCGCACACGTATGTATATCAACATAATAATCAAAGTAAATTAGTTTTTTTTTTGTATTTGTATTTGGGAATATAAATTGATAGATGAAAAAAATTGATACAAACTTTTCTTAATTGTCTGTATCATGAATCTAAGAATATTTAAACATATCCCATATCTAGTGAAAATGAACTTTATGATAGTCATCAATAGTAATCAAAGATATATAGCTATCTATATTGATTGCAAAATAGAAAAAAAAACTAATTTATTTTAATATAAAAAATGTTACATGATGTACTGCACACACACAAACTAAAAGAATATGTTTCTAATAAATAAGTTGAAGTAGAAATTGTCCTATAAACATGAGTCTAATTATAGGTATCCTATAATTTTTAAACAAAAACATCGTTCGTTTGATGTTTTCGAAAAGAATTTTTTCTGAAAATGTCATCTTTCTAAGATAATCCAGTATCTTGACTTTTTTGTGACGCCCTGTGGAGAAAAGCTCCCTATTATGAGATAGGCGCCTAATATGAGATACGACGTTTCTGCTAAATTAATAAATTATATCTGTTGATTCCACCATGAATTTATTGCTCTTAGGTTGAAAACTATTTAATGGAAAATGCATTAGATCGTGCCTATATAGCCGTTGTAAAAAAAAGACTTTAGATTTGAATGTCTTCAAGTTTCATTGAGATGAGTCTTTAAACTTTGTTTATTATTTAATAAAAAGTAATAAAAGTAAATATCTGACAATAAATTCTTCATGTAGTGATAGAGTAAGATAGTATTAATAAATGCGAAAATACGAGATATGTTGAATTACTTAATTACAGAAGTTAGATTTGATCGTAAAACCGTAAGGTGTGAAATTCGTAATATGAGATACTCAGGGTACTTCTAATACGAAATAACCTATGCTGTTATGTCCGAGTGACAATCGTTGCTGAAATATAAATGTTATTGTACCGTAATAAAAAGGATGACCGAAATGAACATCGAATGCCTATTTCTACGATGCTTGGTTCTAACTATCTGAAGACGAGTCCTGGGTATATATCCAGGACTCATTTTGCGCACATATTGGCTGTGTTTCTTTGCATTTTAGAAACATTAAATAAAGTTTTTTTTTTAATTACAATACTGATGTACTTTTTTTTGCCTTATTAAATTTGTCAAGGTATTATCTCATATAATGAGCATGATTTATTTACTTTAAGATTTGCTCACTTTTTACATTTCTTTAATTTTCAGAAAAAATAGTATTTGAATTAAATTTTACATAACAGTATTTTAAAGCTTATTAAATTCCCTTTAAAATGACTTATTATTTTTTTTTATTCTGCGTATACACTTCCAGTATTTACACAAAATGTATTTGGTATCTCATAATAGGGATTTCCTCTTATATATACACGAGGGAGAATCAAAAAATAATTTCAATGTTATATATTAAACTAAGAGATGTACAAGGTATATTTTGAATTGGATTAGTTTTCTTTTCTATATATTGAAAGCTTCGTAACTAAACCGAAGTGTTCCAAATCCGTTACGGATCTATAACTTACAAATTGTTCAACTATTGTCTGTAGACATGAGACAAGTATTGTTAGTAAACATAAAGAAAGAGATAACAAAAATGTAATAAATGTGAATTTACTTTCAGTATTTTTTAACATTTATTTTCATCAAAAAAATTCTGTATCTTCATCATAACTCTTACTTGAACTAGAACTTGTAAAGACTGTCTCGAGTATTATCGCTTTATTTCTATTTAATTTTTCATATACATTTATAAAAGAAATAAAAGCAAGCTTGTTAGCTACAAGTTATTGACTTTATTAAGAATACATTCAGACTAGAAGCGTCAAACAGCGAGCATCAAACCAATCATATAAATATTTTTTACATCACTGTCCATATTGCCTCGCTGATTGGTTTGCTGCTTGACGCTTCTAATCTAAACACACCCTTACTGGTTATAAGTTATAACGGCCGACGGATTCAGAACATCTCTCGATTTACGGGGGGGGAGGGGGGGGACTGCCAACATCCAGAAAAAAATAAGCTAAACTAACCCAGTTCGAAATACATCAACAGATTAATATTATTTTATTTTTCGACATAACTCTTCTAATTAACACACAGTGTCTCACGCCATGCTTAGCACCGAAACACTACCGTGTCTCCAGATATCACGTATCTGTCTATATGCTTCACAATCCCTACAGAGAAGAACATTTTAGGTTGTTTTTGCAGCTACGAACGCACTGCTTCTTTGAGAATGCAGAATCATAGCTAATGCTTTTTTCTTCGGCGATCTCAGAAAGAATAACCTGGTAATTTTCTTTAATGAGGACATTGATGCGATCCACATGATCCTGTGTATGAGATGTGGACACGTAACCCGAGCGAGATTCATTGAACACATTTGTTCTATCGGTTAAAAATTTTTCTATCCACTTGTACACATGTTTTAATTCATACATTTGTCTTCGCGAAGTAAAATTAATATATTGCACAATTATCCTACGATGAATTTGAACGGATTGCACACCCTCAGTTCATAAAAATCTAATCATACTTCGCCGTTCAAAGCATTCAAATAATTAAGCGGACATGTTTACATATTTAAAAGTGCTATGTAATTAACATAAGTTCAGAAAATTCTCGACTATATGAGCCACTTGTAACTAAAGATCACATGCTCCTTCAAATCTTTATAAATCTGCCTGTAACTCTGCTTGCATATGTAATAAGAATATTGATCTTTTTGATTCGCCATGTACCTATAGATATAATATGATGAATATAATGATATATAATATGATGGAACTAAATTGGATTGAGAACAATCGCATCATAAAGAATATCAAGATTGTTTTTTATTTTTTCACATGCATCATTAGGTTTGTTCGCGTCGCATGCTCCAATATGCTCCGACATAGCTCCTATTCATTCCAACGAGTACGTTGAAATAAGTAACTATGCTAGAAGCATGTTGAAACATATTGGAGCGACACAACAAACCTATTAATACACTGTATTAATTCAACTCAAATATTAACCTTTCTACGTTAAACTGTTCATAGCTTCACAGATAAAAATCTGAAGGTGTGAGATCCGATGATAGCCAAACAAGATAGATAATCATTTCAAATTAGACCCATGTTTATTCTTTATTTCAATTTACATCAGAAACATGCTTCTTCAGTTAATGTAACACATTGTATAATGTGCGAGGAACGAAATTTATATGATTTTTCTAACATCATAACTTAACATAGCGTTGTAGCGAGGGGCCAGGAGCCTTAATATAATAAGAAGGAGGGAGAAGAGAGCAGGCACATGTATAAAAACAAATTTTCATAGCTCGCGTTATCAGAAAAAATATAAATGATACATTTTTAGCACATTCAAGCTTATAGTATCTCAGAAAGGTACAAATAACATTTCTAAAATATATAATATATATTTATAGACAATTTTTTTTGAATTTGATCAATTTCGTGACAGACACTGTATCCCTTTTCCCCCGGTGGTATGCAATCAAAGAAAAAAGAAGAGAGAGGAATGTAAATATAATATATGCGTCCATATGTAACTGTGTATGTATATATATTTATATATAAATAATATATATATATATATAACATATATATATGTAATACATATAATATGTATATATGTATATACACATACACGTATGTATATATGTATGTATGTATGTATGTATGTATATGTGTATGTATATAAAAATATCTGTCTACACTTTTTCTTTTCATTCAACAAATTGTAAGAGACTTTATTATTCTTAAATTGAGAGACAGAGGGAGACAGGCAAAGTCTGGCTGAGAGAGGGCGCTTACCCGGTCGAGGAAAGAAAATATTCCTTATTCACGCAGTTGCGTAAGCAGTCGGGTATGCGTCCGACGATCGCCCGTCGTATCTCACTCGCTGCCATCTCACGTAATTCGGTACAACTCGCGTCGCTGTAGAAGGCGGCATGTGGAGTGCACAAAAGATTGGGTGCATCTTTCAATGGACCTATGCAATATACATCGATCAAGAAAATCAGAGATATATATTTGAATTTAACAATGTAGAACGATTCTTCAGAAAATATATATGACACAGTGAAAATGAATTGATATGAATATTTCATTTTCGAGCTTATTCTAATACTTTTATATATAGAATGTTCAGAAGAATCCATTTAAGAAAATGTATGATTCTATGCAAAAAAAATGTAGGATTTAATTACAGAAAAAAATGTAATCGCATTTTTCAGTAAATTTAACTTACAAAAAAATATTAGGTGTTGGAATTAATTCGTAGCGTTTTTAAATGAAAGAATGTTATTTATTTCACATGAGCATTAAAAAATACATTAATGAAAGTACTTCCCATCACTTGTAAAACGCTACGAATTAATTTCAACACACACCTAATATAAGTTGGAAAAACATTTATTATACCATTTTTTTGTACTTTCTCTCTTTCTTTAATGGAGCAAATACTAGAAAATATTCCAATTGTGTGACGTACCCTACATATAATAATATAGAAATGTTATAAAATTATTTTCACCGTAAAATATACATCTTCATTGTTTCTCTATTTAAAAAGATTTGCACTGCCGCTTATGGAAGTTTAGACACTCGCATAAATTTTTATTTTATCGAATGGTCAAAAAATTAAGACATTTGAAACAGCGATATTATTTTTTTATATATTTAAGGTATACCTGTACATATTAACATCAATTGTAAAAATTTTATAAATTATTTTTAATTTTATATGGCAAAATGTATTTTATAAAACATTGATAGTATAATCGATAAATTTAAAAAATTCGTTCAGGGAACATATCGGGACTGGCAAGAATGCAAGATATACTATAGCATGAGCCTACTGTCGTATTTTCTGAGTTATGAAATTTATATACTACTAATGTTCTGCAAAATAAAAATAATATATTTTGAAATATAAAATTAACAATTATTTATAAAGCTTTTGCAATTTGTAAGTATGTACAAGTACCCTAAAATAAATAAAAAATACATAAAATATAAAAAATATATAATACAATTATTTTATGTCATATTATAAGACCTATCGATAAAATTTATGTATTAGGTGTTGGAATTAATTCGTAGCGTTTTACAAGTGATGGGAAGTACTTTCATTAATGTATTTTTTAATGCTCATGTGAAATAAATAACATTCTTTCATTAAAAAACGCTACGAATTAATTCCAACACCTAATATATAATGTAAAATTATGAATATCTAAATTTCCATCAGTGTATATCGTTTTTTTTCGTTTTATTATGGAAGGAATTTAGGAAGGTTAAAGATAATCAGTCGAGACAGGGTTAGGCGCGGAGACAGATAAGACTCACACTGATTCGCAGACTGACCCTGAAAGACGTTGTATGGCTCATTTTCATGGACGTCTAGCGCTGCCGCGCGAATTCTACCCTGTTTGAGCGCCGCGGCCAGCGCGTCGTCATCCACCAAACCACCTCGTGCTGTATTGACTAAAAATGCTCCTGGTCTCATCTAAAACAAAGACAATGCAATTTTTTGTAATTACATATTATAATACATTGATAATTATACTTATATTATGTATTATTGCAATTAAAAAATTATAATTACATAATTATATATTCATCTTTTTTTATTACATAATTTAAATAAAAAAATTTTTTAATTTTTTTGTGAAT